TTCGAATTTCGGTTTTGATTATTTGACTCCTAGAATTTTCACTTATTATGTCTTGTTTCTCTAAATTGAAAGAAATTATAACTAAGATGAAATGCAGGCAAACACTGAAATGGTTGTTTTCCCCCTAAATTTAAAGCTAAAGTTGGTGTCGGTGCTTATACTTTTCAATGTATTCTGAATGTATATGAGATTTCAGAACGAAAATGAGCTTTTTTTTTCAGATTTTAATTGATCATTTATTCACATACACAAATGAGTTGTTGGTCTCAATTGGGCTCATGATCCTGTCTAATGGTAAATGGTTAGCTCAAAAGATTGAGGTCTTGAAATAATTATGATCTTTTCTGTATTTCTTCTGTTTCTACTTTTGTTTGGAGTCTAGTGAAGGACAATATGATGAAATGTAGGCAAACACTAAAGTAACTTAGAAATTTTTCCCCCCTTCAATTTAAAGCTAGAGTTGTTATCGCCTGTCGTGCTTCTACTTTTCATGTATTCAGACTATATATGAGACTTCAGATTCAGAAAGAAAATAGGATTTTTTCAGATTTTAATTGTTCATTTATTCACATACACAAATGGTTTTTTTTGTATGCTCACTATCGTGTCTAACGGTTAGCTCCAAATATTGAGTTCTTCAAAAAATTATGATATTTTTTGTGTTTCTACTTTTGTTTGGAGTCCAGTGAAGGACAATAGAGGAATGATAGCAAGATGGGCAGGAAAGGAAACTGGTTGTCTTCTGTAAAGAAAGCTCTAAGCCCAAATACTAAAGAGAAAAAAGCAAAGGTGACTTATATTTTTTTTTACAATAATCACCTTTAAGTTCCTTGCGTATTAATTTTTATCTTGTTTCATTCTAGTTTTGATGTTTGCTTGCAGAAAGCTGATAAATCGAAGAAAAAATGGTTTGGAAATGAAAATCCGCTAGTATCTGAACCGTTAAACCAAGAAGCTGCCCAAGCTTCTTCTCATCCTCCCACTCTTCCTCCTTTGGAGAATGTGAAATTAGCAGAAATCGAGGATGAGCAGACAAAAAATGCTGATGATGATGTGGCAGTTGAAACGGTGTCGGTGGAAGAGATAGCTACAAAGGTTGTTCGGCTGTCTAAGCCTTCTCAGTTTGCCGGAAAATCTGCTGAGGAAATAGCAGTCATTAAGATCCAGACGGCGTTTCGTGGTTACTTAGTATGTTGCTCTGTTTTCCTTTGTCTGGGCTTTGCTTGTTTTACTTGTCGAGAGTGTTGTTTATGCAAAAATTGACTAAGTTGCCCCTCTTTGATTCCCTTTGTTTACTAACAAATTTTCAATCTTTTTCTGTTTGGTGGAATGAACGAGAGTATCTCCAGTGGAACTCATGGATTGCTCCATTTTCATGCGAGATGTTTTAAAATAATAGGCTAAATTGCATTTTTAGTCCTGTTGGTTTAACGCCATGGCAATTTTAGTCCCACGATTCTAACATTTCGTCTTTTGGTATTGTGATTTAAAATTTTGCTGCAATTTCAGTTATTTGAGGACTGAAATTATAACAAACTCTCGAATATATAGATTTTTTTATTAGCAATATCAGTCATGTGATTTAATATTTTGCTGCAAATTCAGTCCTAGCAAAATATTAAATCACATGACCAAACGCGAAAAACTTGGAACCGGACTGAAATTGCTATGGCATTAAACGAACATGACTAAAAATGTATTTTTGCCAAAATAATATGTAGGTGGTGCAGATAGTGACTAGAAGTTAATCTAGATGTAGGACTTGTAGACACCTCCTACTCATTATTTTACATTTTATCCCTTATCTGATCAATCAGTATTTTACATGTGTCGCATTAGCTTCATGATTCCAAATCAACTAGTGGAGATGAAATTATTTATTTTTCTTTTATTCTTGCCACATATTTCACGATGGACATTGTATTTCTGACTTTGGAGATGCTATGAGGAAGTAGTAAGAATGTAGGAGTAGGAGAAAATATTTTGTTACCTAGATTGCAGCTATTATGCTAATTTTGCAAAATGTTCTCTTAGTTTGTGTGAATATTTCTCCAAATCCATTTTAGTGGGATGAATGGTGTAAAATGATATTCTGTTTCTCTATTATTTTGGTTCGTTTTTATAGGTGCTTGAAAATTTATTGTAATTATCATCCACAATGACTACAATCTATAGATGGGTATCTATTATCCATGATATTCAAGATGAAGTATGAAAGTTGTATTTCCAGATTGAAAGTTGGGGCTAATGGTGCCTTGCTAATTTTTTTATCAATAAGATGTATTTGACGTGTTATTATAATTTCTTTTTGCCTGACAAGTAACACTTCTGAAATTCAACTGGAAATATTATATTCTAGAGATTAGCCGAACAAACTGTATGAAAATCTAGTGATTTGCTCGTCCTAATTTTATTTTAAATTTTCTACCATTATCTAAACTTGTATGATGAAGATTAATTTCTAACTTTACCTTTCTTTTCTTATTGGTTGTTAGCAAGGTGAGTCCTTCATTATAGTTGCAATGACCATTTAAGATGGGAATTTTTTGTTCTTTTTCCTAATTTCAGGCCAGAAGGGCATTAAGGGCTCTAAGAGGATTAGTCCGATTGAAATCACTGGTTGATGGGCCCACAGCCAAACGCCAGACGGCAAGTACTTTGAAATGTATGCAGACATTATCTCGTGTTCAGTCTCAGATTCAATCGAGAAGGCTAAGGATGTTAGAAGAGAATCGGGCGCTCCAGAGGCAGCTACTCCAAAATCGTGCTAAAGAGCTCGAAAGTCTCAGAGTTAGTTTTTTTTTTTTTTGCACTAATAATTGCGTACATATTATGTTTCATGAATCAAAAAAACTTTCAGTCTATAAAGGTGCTTGGTAGGAGCAAAACTTGTTGTGCTATAAGTGCAATAATCCAACTCGAGTGATTAAATTGCAACTTTCTTCAATTGGCCTGTTGGTGCAAATCAGATCAATTTTTTTTATTTTTCTCAGGTTAATTGCGATTCTCATTTGTTTTTATTCTCCATGTTGTGTCTTTTTTATGGATCCCTCTGACCTTATTAATTTTTATTCTTTATACTCCAAAATTGTGCTAAAGAGCTCAATTTTATTTTTTTTTATTTTTTTTGGGCACTAATAATTGTGTACATATTATCTTTCATGAATCAACAAAATATAGAACTTTCAGTCTAAAGATACTTGGTAGGAGCAAAACTTCTTGTGCTATAAGTCTTTTAACATTAACATAATTTCTTGAAATCTGCAATATGCGTTTTGTTTTTCTTTTTCTTTTTTTAATGTATTTAAAATAAAATTTTCGTTGTTAACTGAGAGAGATTATAATGTTGTTGTAGTTGGGGGAAGAATGGGATGATAGTGTACAGTCGAAAGAGCAAATTGAAGCGAATTTGCTGCATAAATTTGAAGCTGCAATGAGGCGTGAACGGGCTTTAGCTTATTCATACACTCATCAGGTATTTCAAATATTATTTTGACCGCAAAACACAATGTCCCGCTATCTCAGAACGTATTAATTTTGCTAAAAGTGTCACTAATAAGTAATACCACCCTCAAGATTAAGTCTAACTACACACACACACACACACACACACACACACAAAAAAATTTACTAATTGCAAATTACCAATTTAAGAAACATGTACGTTTCACAAACTTCAACCCTTTGAGTGAGCTAATTTGTTTGTGGGCATGATTGGATATGGATTTGATTGGATAAATTTTAACTCTAACTTTAACATAACCTCACTATCATCAATATTATCAATATAATAAATAATATCAACCAATCATTCTTACACTTGACATCAACTTTAATTCAATATTCATCTACTCACATAATTTTAACTAACCATCACTTCACATCATCTCTCTCCTACTTTTACATCAAATCAACTTTAGTTGTTTTATTTTAATATTACTTTAATATAAACTCAAAATTTCACTAACAACTAACCATACCACTTTTTGTTTTCCAAAATTAACTATAGTTAACAAAAAAACCAAATCAAATCTATATCCAATCACAAACTAACATCATCTCGGTACTTGCTCTTTTTTTCAATCATTTATAATTTATACCTAACATTTTGGTTTTAACCACATAACATTTTTCCTACTTCCAACAGCAAACGTGGAAAAAATCATCCAAGCCGACCAACTTGCTCTTCATGGACCCAACCAATCCTCACTGGGGCTGGAGCTGGTTAGAACGCTGGATGCCAGCTGTCACCACCCCATTGGATAATTCCCAAATTGCCCTCGACAAAGAAAACAACATCAAAACCCCCTCCGGACTTGGTGACATCACTAAGTCTTTTGCCCGTCATCAGCTCTCGAATTCGGAGCCAAATCCATCTTCTTCACCTACCACCTTAAAAAAACCTCCTCTTACCCCAAAATCATCAACTTCCAAGAAAATCAAGCTCCCGATTAGTCAAGATGATGAGTCGAGAAGTACTTTTAGCATGAAATCGGAAAGGATTAATAGGAGGCATACAATTGGTGGGGGCTCGTCTATTAGAGATGATGAGAGTTTGACGAGTTCACAAACCTTGCCGAGTTACATGGTTCCAACTCAGTCGGCTAGGGCTAAGCTGAGGCTTTCGAGTCCATTGGGAATGGAGAATGGTGGTTTTAATAATAATGATGATGATAATAATAATAATAATAATAATAGTAATAGTAATACGCCTAAAAAGGGGTCGGCTAAAAAGCGGCTTTCTTTCCCACCTTCGCCGGCTAGGGGGAGGAGAAATCCGGGCGTGCAAAAATCCGATTTGTGAAGGTTTTCAACCATTTGCATTGTTTAATTTTTTATTTTATTGGGTTTGGTCAAATTGCTATTCTTGATGTTTTCATTTTGTGAATGTTGTGGAAATTGTGTGACTGAGAACAATTTGGAGTTGTGATTCTTTATTGAAAT